CGGCTTTGCAGGGAACGGCCGCCGGGATGACCCCCGCTCCCTGGGAATGGGGTCTGCATCCCGCTCTCGCTCCCTTTCTCCCAAGCATCGTCTCCGCTGCTGCAGTTGGAGCTTGCGGGTTCTGACCTTGCTGCAGCCGCCTCCTTCCACGTCCCTTCCCTGCCCCTTTCTCGGGAGACCCGTCTCCTCCATAGCTCCGTCAGGAGGACACAGTCGTCCACGTTTGTTCCGTGCGAGCTGCTGGAGCCCCCATTTTTCTTTTATTTCACCCCTCAAATGGGTTTGTAAACCCGCTGGGTTCCTTAGCTGACTGTCACCTCCTTATCCAAATCCTCTACGTTAGTTTGGGTTCCTCTCCTTCTTCTCATCTCCCTGCAGTTTTTCCTCCACACAATTTGCTGCTGGGATGTTGCTAAGGGATCATCCTGCTCTTTGTACCCAGCCTGGGCTCAATCTGTCTCTTTTTGGGTGCAGAAAGGCTGTAGTAGGTGAAGGCATCGCTGTGGCTACAGCATCGGCTCAAGCCTGTACCCCTAACCTGTGGCGAATGCGAATCCCGAGGGTGTTTTATTCCAAGGTGACTTACTCCGTAGCTGCTGGGGGCTGGAGGCGGACAGGCCGTTCATTAGAGGTGCTTTGCTAAATGAATCTGAATTATTTCTGTTTTAAGTTGCTCCTTACCAGGAGGAAGAGCAGAGCTCAGGGGTTCTGACCGAAAACGAGCAGTCTTCCAAATACCAAGCAAAGGGGTTCACATCTCCTCCTCCTCATCCTGCAGTTCTGGGAGGCAGGCTCGGTTTTCGCTCCGATGTCTGGTCTTTGGAGCTAGGAAAGGAGTTGGCTGTTTGGGATGGTGCCACCTCAACGGAGCTGCTTCTCCCGCTTGCCCTGATCAAGTCATGACCTTGAGATCTCTTGGTGGGAACCTCCATCCCATGGAAGCTGCCAGATCCAGGCCGGTGGCTGAGGAGCAGTGTTTTCCTTAACCTTTCCCAAAATGTGGGGTTGCCTTGTGCCAGGGCCCGGCCTCCAGCAACTCTTTCTTTGGGGCCCTGGCAGCTTTCACTGTGCTGCTTTTCCAGCCTGCGCCGGTGTTGGAGTCCTGTGCTCCCTGCTCAAGGCCGTGCTTTGAGGTTGGGGATTATTTTTGGCTTTGGAAAACCGCCGGGATGGGGGAGTTTTGCAGGTGATCCCGTTGAGGTTCCTCCAAGGGGACAGTGAGGGGATTGTCCCAGTGCTGGAGCAAGTGGGACTCGCTGAGGAGACCTGCTGGCACGCGGCCGTGTCCTCATTGTCCGGAGCTCCCCGGGAGTGCCGTTCCCGGCGTTTCCTGCTTACCCGGGAACTCTGACCCACGCTCGTGGGGCAGCTCGGGTGACGTCTGAGGTGGCGGTGCCAGAGCCCAGCGGGTGCCAAGGACCTTGTGCCGAAGCTTCTGCATCTCGGATCCCCCTTCATCAGGGAATCGGATCAGTGGAGATCCGGGTGCAGCCAGAGGGTCCTCCTGGTGAGGAGAGCCAGCTTGGACCATCTCCGTGAGCTGCTCCGGAGCCCCCTCCGTCCAAGCCCCTCTGCAGCATCCGAACGTCGCGGTCACGTAATTTGGGTCACCTTGAGCATCTCCCTCTGCTCTCGGCCCTGTTTGCACGTCCAGCCCCGGCGCGTTGCCCCTCGGCAGGGCAGAACCCCAGGACGTCGGTGGATGGTCCGAGCCCAGAGCTGCCTTCGGGGGGTTTAGAGCAGCCCTGGAGGCTGAGGCTGCCCTTGGGGACGCGATCCGAGGAACCAGGGGCTACTGAGGCCCTTTGGGAGGCCGCCCCGCTTGCCCGGGCGCGTTGGACTCCTGCGGCTGTGAATTTTAATTACACTTGAGGATCAATACGGTGGCCTTGGTAACGAGCTCGTTGCTGCTGCAGAATCTGTTTACTCCAGGTTGGTGACAGCCAAAGAACTTAGGTGGCCGGGACGCGATGTTCCCGCTGCTCAAACAGGCCGCATTGTCATTCGGGCCTCGCGCTCCGCTTCCCCTGGGCTGCCTCCCGTTCCCGGCCAAGGAACCACTGGATTCGGAAGCAGCGATTCGGGTGGGGGCTGCAGGATCCCAGCTGGTTCCTCCCAGGCTTTGTGGTTTGAGGGGAGGTAGGAGCCGGGAAAGGAGATTCCTTGGAGCTTCTCCTAGCTGAGATCTGCTGTTTCCTTCTTCCAAGCAGCCTGGGCTGATATTGGAGAGGATATCCGCAGCCCTGGATATTGCACCGTCTTTTTTCATGGCACCGTGGGGAGAGGCTTAAGTCCACCCTGGGCATGTTTTGGAGCAAGAACATCTGCCTGATCCCCACTGACCTTGGGCATTCCCAAAGACATTCCCAAAGTCATTCCCAAAGCCGAAATAAGTTGTGCTTGTTGGTGCATAAGTGGGTAACGCCTGCCCTGCTTCCAGCCCCCTTATCCACCCTCCGTAATATCCGTAATATCCCCAGCCTGGCTGGCCAGGGCATGTGCGTGAGCTAATTAGTCGACCCAGCAAGCTGAGCTAATTGCTTTTTGCATTGTGCGCCGCTGCCGTCCCGTGCCGGAGCCCGGCTCGGTCGGCACCGTCGGGATCAAGCCCTGGATAGAGCCAGGCGCTCGCTGCTTTTGAGGATTCCAGATGTCCAACCCTCGCCGCTCCCTTTACGCACGCAATATCCCTACGGAGAGAGCACGGCACGATCCTGTGCCTCGAAGTCTCCCGAGTCCAAGGACCAGACGCGCTATCTCCTGCCGGAGCGCTTTCCCTGCACCTTCGACCTCCAGGTGTTTATAAGGCTGTAATTATTCCCGGTTACTTTTTAACAGTCGGCCACTTAAAATCACATTTATTTTATTTAATGCGGCCTTCTGTTTATTTTTCCCTTCGCCAGCATTTCCAGCGATTCCCACGATGACTAAAACTGGGCGGCTGGTTCCAGCCCTTCAACCTTTGGAATGGGCCCGTTTTGTTCCGGCTGAGCGTCGGGATTCACCCGAAAAAATCCCTAATTCCTGTCTCGTATGCACGGAAACTTGTTTTTTTTTTCCATGGCTTTGGCCAACCAGCCGTTTGTGAGCGGAGGCTGGTATGAGGGCTTGGCTGCTTTGCTTTGCCAGGACCTTGGCGCTCTTTATTTCCTTGTGGGAATGGCAGGACGGTTTCCCAGCCCGGGCCTCGCAGGCCGTTCCGGATGGGGGGAAGCAAGCCCGGTTTGGAGCCGAAGGTTTGTATGGAAGCAGCACGGGGGTTGCCCGCTGGGCATCGCGGCGGCAGCTCCCGGCCGCGCTGTCCCTGTACACGATGTCACAGCCCGGACCCTGTCCCCGTTCCCTGTCCCAAGGAGCCGCGTGCCCGGGCGCGGAGCCCCGGCCTCGCCGGGGGAGGCTGTCCCGAGCCTCCTCCGGGAATGGCTCTTTGCTCCCACCCGGGACACCCGGGTCCCCCCTGGGTGGCTGCAGGGGAACAGCCCTGTCCCTCTGCTCCGCTTCCCGGCCTGGAGCAGCAGCGAAGCCTCCCGCTGATTTATCCCTGGAGAGACCTCAGCCCGGCGGCCGCGTCCGTTGGATGCGACAGGCTGCTTTGGGAAAGAAATAAGTGAAGGCAAAATAGTCCCTGAGGAACACCTAAACGTCCCGGGACGCTGGGAGGTCATCCCAGGTGGACGCCATGCTGGGAAAACGGCCGTTCCGCGAACGAGGAATCGCTGCTGGTCGCCTCTGCGTCTCCGGGCGCGCAAGAAGCCGTCCCGGTAAGAAGCAGCCGATGGAAGCGGCCCCCGGGGGCCCGTGA